AGAGTTTTTGAACCAAGTTGTTGGTGTTTCCCCTAAACCCCTTCCCTGCCATTTGAGTGCACCCCCAGAAGTGAGGGGCTTTATGGTGATGATTTAGAGAGCTTGGGGGGCACTGGGTGGATGTCTGTCTCCCTCGGGCCTGGGTGTAAGAGAGGCTGGCTGGCCTGGCAGCACAGCACCGCGGGTTACTGTGTGGGGCACTGCCCATCCTCCGGGCGTCCTTTGGGGCCAGAGTACATGTTTCCCATAGACCAGATGAGGGGAGGCACTCAAGATCAGGGTGGGATGGGGATAGGGATGGGATGGTGGGATGGTGGCTCTAGGGAAATAAATGACTGGATTCCCAGAGGAGATGTGTCTTTCTGCATTCGGGGAATTGTTGCAGTGAGAGATGCCCAGGGCCAGGAAGGAATTGTAGTAAAAGATCCATCCCCAGGGCCGGAGTGGTGAGAGCCTGCAAGGAATCCTGAAAGCATTCCCTGGCAGATCAGCTTTAAACACTGGAGCCCAGCCAGAGAGCGCCTGTGCCCTCTAGTGACACCTGAGGTGGGAGAGGAGATGAGGCCCTCCTTGTTCCTGGACTGGCCCTGCCACGGGCTGCGCTGGGACAGGAGAAGCTGGGACCTGATGAAAACTTAAGATGGTTTTACTAAACGGGATCTCTTAACGTCTAGACTCAGGCCATTTTTATAACTTAAATGACCAGTGTCCTAGTCTTGCCTAAATGAAAGTTCAGGGACATTACCGGCACCACAGGATAACTTTAAAGCACAGTGAAGGACAAAAAGTTGCTTTATGGCTACACCCCACAGGCTCTGCTTGTTCAGGGTAATGGTTACAGTTGTTTTTCTAATGAGAAAAATATCAATGAAAATGAGTTTTTATAAGAAAAATGTGTCCATTGAGGCATTTTGTTATGAATAAAGTGTCAACAACTTTGGGACCAGACCTGAACTTGAGTCAGACCAACCCCTTATTAGCACTGATGAGGGCAAGTAATGTCATTTTTGACGTTGATTTTCCTCATTCACTTTTTATAAATAGGGTAATCCCTGTTTTGTGTTTATGAAAAACTATGGTCCATAGTAAAATGTGTGATACACAGTAGGTAGTCACAATATTATAGCAAGTGTTTCCTATTGTTTTAAATATGTCTGACTCTCCTTAACATGTGCTTTGCTTCCTCTAAATATATTCCTTAAAAATACTGAATGATTAATGGATTCAGTATGACTACAGGATACTATCAAGGATGTAAGAAATGGTAGTTTTAGTGTAGCTAGATTTCGCTTTTGACTTGAAATGTGAAGAATTTTCAGAAATAACGAGAAGCAGTTTAACTTCTGTGTTGGTGTTCAGTGAGGAAGCATAGGAATTAGAGGTCTAACGCAAAGGTAGGCCCCAGAGGAGGATCTTTCCATCCCTGTTCTTGGAGCAGTGTGGAATATATCAAACAAAAGGAAGGCATCACTGCCGAGAGAACACATTGTAAGAACGGTTGGTTTTTTATTTAATGGATACATTTTATTTGTTTATTTACCCAGCCACAATGTGTTTATTGGGAAGGTTCCCCACTCAATGTGATTCGAGGTGCTTCTCGTGCTTCCTTCTGAAGGAGCATCCTTCTGTCAGCCTTGCTTCTCCTCCTGTTGGCGGACAGAGAACAGGGGAGCAGCCAACGCACAAAACTATCGTTTGTGGTGGCCAAAGAGGGTGGTGGTTCAGAGCACCCTGGGTGGTTCCATCCAGGGCGCAGGAATGGGGCTCTGCACCAGGCGCGCCTCTTTGTGTCTTCCTCGCTGAGGGGCGCTGCAGTGTCCTGTCCAGGCCGAGGCAGGGTCAGAACAGAGCAGTATTCAGGAACAGTGACCCTGCCTCGCAGGCTGCCATTTCCATACGTCCACGTAAGCTCAAGCAAAGAAACGGTGCTTAGGTAACATACTTTAAATAAGTGGACATCTCCGTTTACAAATAACAAAACAGAAGCTCAGAGAACTTAGAAAGTGGAAACTCAACCCAGGTCTCTCTCATTCCAGAAACAATGTCAGATTTTCCGTGTATTCTTACTGTTTTGCTTTCTCACAAATTATCACGAAAATCTTTTCCTCTCTAGATGTGATTGTATCTACATTTACATGAACTATTGAAACATTTTGGACTTTCTGTATTTAAAATTTTAATGATTGGTCCTGTCTTTTCTTTTAAAACTTCACATAATGCTTCAGATAATGCCTCTATTTTCTATATTTTGCAATTTAGTTTTGAGAAACTACTTCTTTTTTACCTTGAGCATGTTAATTGCCACAGTAAGGCTACATGTTTTTAGAGAGCGCGCTCTTTTCATCACTGCATCTCCTAGGTACCTACTTTGTTATTATACACACAATAGACTTTCTGTAAATATTTGGTGGTTATACTTTTTTTACACTTATACACAGTTGGACCTATTCTGATTTCTCTGTTCTCGTCCCCTTACTATATATATAACCAATTCCACACAATTTTAATTATTGGGGAGTAGGACTGATCCTTCTCATTTGCTCTTTTTTAAAAATATATATATATATTTTTAAATATATTTTGTTGATTTTGTACAGAGAGGGAGAGAGATAGAGAGTTAGAAACATTGATGAGAGAGAATCATCGATCAGCTGCCTCTTGCACACCCCCCACTGGGGATATGCCCACAACCAAGGTACATGCCCTTGACTGGAATCGAACCCGGGACCCTTCAGTCCCCAAGCCAATACTTTATCCACTGAGCCAAACCAGTTTCGGCTTTTGTTTTCAATTTTTCATAAACTTGTATGTTTTCTTTTCTCAAATGGATATAGAATAACCTTTTCAAGGTCTAAAACTGAAGTTCAGATACTGTACTTGTTGGAATTACTATATAAAAATGCACTTTTATAATGTTTGATCTGGAAACACGGTCAATAGGCTCTTTAATTCAAGTGCTTTATTCTGTTTCTAAGATGGTTTTTCAGATTGCTTTGCATATGTCAAGGGGAACTTAAACAAATGGAATTGAGTTAGATTTTTATCATACACCAAAGAAGCTGCATAACCAGCTGGCTCTCTGTATCATCATTTGAAATACTGCAGAACTGTCCACGTGTGACAGAATGTTCTAAAGTCATAACTGTTATGTTTTGCTGGAGACAAAAGAATTTTTAAGAATCTCTGAACTTGGGAATTTTATTTTAAATGCCTGGATTATCTAATTTACATGCTATCTAATAATCACTATTTATGCCCTGACATTTGATTAAGAAGGATGATAACAATTATAGTGTCTTATTACTTCTTGATTTATTAAGAATTAGACAGGATAAATAGGATTTTTCCTCTATGGTTTTATGCAAGCGGCACCAGTTTCCCCCTCTGGTTTATGAGAGTAAGGAGGTGGCCAGCCAAGCCACTTGTTGTGTTTATTTCTGGGTGGCTGCAGTCAGCCTTAGGGAAGGAAGTTTTCCTTTGGCAGAAAAAGCAAGAAGTGTTTATTCATTCCATTTGTAGTAACGTTGATCCAAGAGGAGCTTTTGAGGAAAACCAGAGTGTTTAAGTCTTGAACATAAACAGCTCCAATTCATCTCCTAACTAGTAGAGAAAAGTAAAAAATTAGGATGATTAATATAAATTATAGACAACGCAAAGTTCTAGAGCAGAAGTCGTAAACTGGTGATGGTTCATTAACCAAATGTAGCTCTCTGACACTCTTTTGGCTTCCTGAGTATTTAGAGAATTCCCTTAATTAGTTAATAACATTTAAAATCTGTTTACAAGTATACGCAGTAGCAGGGCATGTTAGTAGCAGTGGCACCCTTAGATTAAGCATACGGTACACGTTTGTTTGCCTTGGTTGGCACTCGCAGCCTGATTTCTGCCGACCCCCCATGCGGTCACTTTGCAGTCCATTCCAGAGGCTCTTGAACACAGAATAGGTCTAATGCTGCTAGTGCAACTTTGAGTAATAGGAGATGGGATAATAGGCATTTAGGTTCCAGATATTGAAGGTTTGATGGAATATGGGATGTGTGAGAAAGAGAAGTTGTAGAGGAAGCCAAGGATTTTACCTGAGCAGCTGGAAGGCTAGAGGTCCATCAGCTGAGATGGGGAGTCGGCAGCCATAGGTTTGAGAGGGGAAGGTGAGTTCAGCTTTGGACATGTTAAGTTGGAGGTGTCTATTAGAAATCTCAGTGGATGTACTGAGCAGGCAGTGGTATGAGAGTATGGCGTTAGAGAAATGTTGAGATGGAATAAATACGTTTGAGATATACTGTATTTATGGTACGTAAAGCCATGGAATGAAATGAGATAACAGGGAGAGGGGAGGACCTGGACTGAGCCGGGCATGTCAGCATTCGGGGGTCATTAGTTTGCAGAGGTTTGCCTCTGGCAAATAATAGATTATTGTCATGGAATACAGTCTTCACACCTGTAATAAACCTGATATTTTATTAGTGCATTGAAACTGAAGGAACTTAAACTGTGATAGAATATAGAAATACTAGAGGCACAATGCACCAAATTTGTGCAAGGGGCTTGGCCCTCGCAGCCCCAGCTTAGTCTGGAAGGTCGTTCTGCTGTTCGGTCTAATTAGCATATTAGCTCTTTATTATATAGGATACCTCTTTTAATAATTTTAAGCCCCTGTTACAAGAATAAAAAAGAATTACTAATTTTTCCCTTATTACCTTGTTTCATAAGCTATAATGAGAACAGTGCACTTTTCTTAGTACACTTATTAGTCTTTGAGTGTCTTGAGGGCGACTACTATAGTGTTTTAAGAACTATTGGTGTTTTCTAGAGTGTAATATAATGCCTTACTCTTAGTAGGTCCTCTGTAAATCCAAGGAGAGACACACACATGCACACACACACAGCATATACATGTAATATGTAGTTGCATTCATGAATTTCATTGTTTTAATAAAATAAAGAGGTTTTAAAGTATAGTAATGTTTTAGACTTTCTTCCTTTTTTCTTTCTTTAAACAGGTAGAGGGACGAGGGCAGAATCACCAGCACTGGCTGAAGGTAAATATGTCTTTGGGGGGAAATTATTATTCAAATGCAAACAAACATTATGATTTAAATTAAAAACTACAGTGGCTAAACATAATTTAAGGAAATGTTCTGTACATACAGTATATTAAACTGCTAAAAATGTCTTTAGGAAATAATACCCTACAGTGTTTAGTTTCTGGCTTAGTCTAGGAAGTAGTGGGGAAATGAAATTTAATTAGAACTTTTTTTTACAGCTCCCTTTTCATAGTAGAGGTATGTTTTGTAAATTCCCTTTTAAGTCATTTCAGCTATCACTAGTATGGTTGATCAGAAAAGGTCTACGCCATAATTCTAGTATGTTTATTTACTCATTTATGAATTTATTTGGAAGAAGGGAGGACACTTTTTCCATACCTCTTAATGGAAATTCTACCAATTATTGGTTTTGGTCCTTTTTAAAATGAGTCCTGAGTACTCAAACATTTGTAGTCCTGTAATTAATTGATTTAATTCTAACAAGTCAATGGGTATTTGAAAGTGTAATTTTTCTAGTGAAGTGTCCAGCGTAAGTCTCTCCTGGTGCTCCTCCTGTCATAGGTAGGGAAACTTCCTTTCAGAAGGTGCCTCCCTTTACTCAGGCCCCGTGGAAGCCCTGGCGGCCTGCGGCTGGAGCCTCGCCTGCGCCGTGGGCCACAGTGCAGAGCTCTCCCGGTTTCTGGAACCATGACTCCGTGGTCATCAGTGGGCCCTGTGCATCCCTCCTCAGAATAGTGATTCTGACAGTTGTTTTATGAAGTAAAATACATAGATTAAAAAGGAACCAGAAAATATTGAAATAGTTAACAAATATTGAAAATACAGAATTTTGTAGATTAATATCTATGCTTCTGACATTAGAAAATAAGCTTAGGTGACAATTCTGCTAAATACTGTACTTTTAAGTAGAAATGAGTTTGCAGTAGTTGTAATGTAATTTGAAATTACCCTGATTTCTATGGATGACAAGTTCATAGATATTTCTAATACCTCTTTGGTTTGTTGCCTGTAATCTTGCTTGAAGGAATAGCTAACTTCCACCAATGGGTTAGTGAGAGTTTCCCATCCAGATTCACGGGCACTGAATTCTCTTCCTGGATCCCAAATTAAGAACTCCTTTAGTGAAAATCAGCCAGACCTTTCTTTGTCATATTTGATAAGTGTAGTTTTTTTTTTTTTTATGTTCTGTATCACTAATCTTAAATAAGTAGCATTATACATCCATACATTAAGTAATATCCTGATGGTGTGGGCTAGAAGTTTTTGAAATAGCTTTGAAGAAACTTCTGTTTGCTGGTTAATAATCACAGAAACAGCATTCTGTGGAAAATGGTGTAGAAGATGTGTTAAGCCTTGCAGTTTGCCTGCTTCCGAAGAACACACATTCTAGTTTCAGGAACATGAACTACACATGCTAACATAAAATAGTTCAAGATGCCAACAGTTAATCAGAGAAATGCCATCACTCGTTGCCGCGGGAGGATGCAGATGGTAAGTGCTCTGGTGCTTGTGTTGTGGAAACGTTGGCGATACCGGCACCAGAATGTTGGACCAGTGGAGTCAGAGTGGATCTTGGTTCTACCATCTCTGCTTGAATTAAGACCAAGAAAGAATTCAGAGCCCAGACTCAGACTATAAGAGAAAGCTTATTTAGGAAGTCACCGAGGTAGAAGTGAGCAGTGGTAGAAAAGGGCCCAGGGAACAGGTAACAAAGGCAAAGGAAGGGTCTTGGAATTTAGGAGAGAAAGGTGAAGGGGCTGCCCCTGGGGGAAGAGGAGAGGGAGAGTGGCTCTTCCCTGAGGCCCCAGGGCTCTTATGGGTGGGGGTGCCAGGGGTGGTCCAGAGGAGGATCTTCATCAGCTTTCCAGGTGGCAGGACTTCGAGGTCTTGGTCTCCACTGATTGGTCTGCGGGGTCATTAGTCCAGGCACTTGGTCCTGATGTCATTGACTGAGGGGCTTGGCTGGTGTTGCTGCTTCTCTGCGTCTGGAGCTGAAACACAGCTGAGGCCTGGATGTGTTTGATGTGGGTCAGATCCTCATGTCCTGGGAGCTTAATGCTGAAGAGCTATTTTGTGGCCCCTTTTATGGTTCCCCATGACTAGCAAATTGCCAGGGGAGGAAAGGTCAGGGGAGGATACAAACCTCATGACCAGCTATGATATGAAAGGTCAAGGGGTCTGAACTGCATGGCCAGCGATAAACTAGGGGAGGAAAGGTTACCCTGGGGGCAAGGTCCTTTTCTGCCCGGTTTTGCCTGTTGATAGGCACTGAGACCTTTCCACATGGTGACCTCCTGTACCTGGTCCATGGTCCTTGCTCTGCCATGTCCAATTGCCTACCACAGAAACACACACGCACAGTGTTTTTCAGTTACTTCTGCAGTAAGAGCTCTACAGCGATGATGTGCCAGCCTAAGTTAGGAAGGTCCCAGAGTGGTGTCACTAAATTTGAATGTGTTTACCACCTTGTAGCTGACTACCAATAAAGAGAATTGCAGATCTATTGAAATTTGGTTGATGGCAAAACAGCACTAATATTTGTTTTGAAGGGAACATTGTGGACATCCGGCTTTTGGGTGTTTTGGTCCTATCAGTGTGATCCGACCCTGATGCCATATTTTAAAGTTGTTCTCAAAAGCTGCACTGCCAAGGTCAGTGGATTAAGCCCTACTTTCAAAAAACGAACTTGCTGCTTTCGCCCAAGTCGCCAAGTTTCTCTAGTCTTCAGTTTCTTCCTTTTACAGAGAATTGAGCTACATGTTTTCAAGTCACTTCATGAACCCTATATTCTGGGCTCGAATTTTGTATCCTTTCTCATTCCCTTCACTTCCTTCCTCATAACTTCAGACATGTAGTGAAAATATTCACAGTAAAGTGAATTGAACTTTAGTTTAAATATTTGGGTTGAAACTGTGTGTGGAACTTTCAAAGCTATAGATATTAGATAACATTTAGTTCAGAAAACTTTGTGATATATGCATTCTATATTTATTTTAATGGCTTGAAAAATCCATTAAAAATTAATAAACTCCTCTATAGGAAAATGGAATACCTCCTATTTTTTTTTGTTTTGTTAATCTTAGTTTTTTTGTTGGAGGCGATTGGTAGTAAATTGGCTCTTAGACAGTGCTGTTTAGTGAAAGGTATCCGCCTGTCCTTTGAAAATAGTCATGGAGTATGCTTTTTAAATTTACACAGGGAATCTGTCTCCACAGTCCAACTGAAGTAAAATAGTATTTTTAAAAATGATACAATGAAAACATTCAGTTATAATTACTATCTTTTCTGCAATATCAAAATGTAATGACCTCTGTTAGAGTCTTTTAAGCATAATACCAGATACTGATTTATAAATGTAGAGTTATTTAAGTACATATCTTAAAAATTATATTATTACCAAGAAGAGAAAATTTATTTTGCTTTTGTGATCTGTTTGATTATGATGAGCCTGGAGGAGGTATAATATATTTAAGGGAATGATTTTAATTGCAGTTCAGGAACAAGGGAAACGTGTGGCAGTGCCTGTATCAGTTCCATCAGTGTGCCAGGCTCAAACAGAACCACCTGGTAGGGAAACCTTTAAGGACTTTTCGTAGTACTGTCCGTCATCTTTTTCTAGTCATCATTTTTTTTTTCTTTCTTTCTTTCTTAAAATCTCAATTTTATTTCCACTTTAGAAATTTCTTTTAGGAACAATTGAAATATTAGAAAACTTTTTGGATGAGTTATGTGTACTTTCATTTATGACTAAGAAGCAGTATGGCAAAATGGTTAAGAGAATTGTTGGGACCCAGATTTGCTGGGGTGAATTTGAAGCCAGATGTTTAATCCTTCTTTCCTTCAGGTTGCTCAGATGTAAAATGAGGACTGTAATGCTAATCAACCTCATAAAATGGTTGAGGATTTTACCAGGTAATCCTGTGTGTATACTATTTAGTATAGTATATGGTGCACAGTAAGACCTCACTCATTGACTTTTACTTTTGTTTAGTGCTTACAGCATCCGAGGCCCTCTGCCAGATGCTTTGGTTACAAAGATGAAATTATAGTCCAACTCCAGGAAAGCTGGTTCTATGCCCTTAGTTCCTTTAGGCTGTTTAAACAGAAGGTCCGATGGCAAGTATTTCCTAAGTAACTCCTCCTAAACTTTATTCTCTTTCAGAAGCTAATCCTCACAATTACTAGACAGGAGACAGCTTGCTTGTAATTTTTTGCATGTGTGAGTGGATGTATATAGCCTGATAGATAGATGACTTTCTTTTGACCTCAGTTTAATATATAGTAAGATATTTCAAATATTTGATAGGTTCTCAGGTGGCACAGGTACTGTTTTGTTTGATTCTAGGAGGCCAGGGAGAACTGGTACCAAAGAGGAGAAATTAACAAGTGGGCAAATTTCAGCTTAATACAAGTTTTGTGTGGTTCTTGAGGGCAAGATGTATGTTGATTAATTGCGCATCATTTTATTATTGGCTGGCTTCTAAAAATTGACTGAAGTCTAAAATTTAAGTCAGCTGAAAGTAGAGCACTTAATGGTGGTTGCTTATAATAGAATCATATTTTTTTCAAGGGAAACCATAATAAATTCTTGTGAAGTGGGTGATGTTGAGTTTTGCTTGTTTTTTCTCTTTCCGACACTCACCGTTCTGTGCACTTCTAAATTACTTACCTTGGAACTTTGAACTAGCCCTTCTCATACCCTGTGTCTCTACCTGCTGGGAGATATAGCAGGAAGCAGTTCTTTGCTTTCTTGTTCTAAATTTGCAATTGAGGCAGTAATTTGCCTTGGTGGTTTAATTTTTAATGGCTAGAGGCATGGAAGAGCACTAATACTAGTTATCTCTGAATCAGTCAAAGATGTTGCAACAGTCTGATGTAATACTATTTTATTATGGTTCTCTTCTGTGTAAGGGCTAGTTTACTATATTTGTTGCACATGGCCAGGCATTCTAGTGAGTCTTTATTTAAAATAGCTTAAGTAAGATTTTTCACTT